TAAGTCTATTTAGCTCCTTTGGCATTTCTCAAAAGTATTAGAATGGCTGTGGTCCCAGGAGTAGTTTACTGAGTGTATGAGCTCCTTTTAGCAATTATTGAAGCCCTGAGTAGCTGCACATTGTCTGCAGTCCAATTCTGTGCCTAGCAGTAGTGATAGCCCTTTCTTAAGATACAGCATTTATTCACCTCTGTCCATCTTGGAAAAATATCTGCAAATTAATATGCAAACACTTACATTTGGTAAAAATGGCTAGTTCTTAAGAAAACTAGTTGGTTCAACTTCTCAGTAATCCACTATATCCTAGAGGCATAACTTCAGCCTTTCATTCTTAATTCTTTCCAGAGTCAAACCATGAATCCTAAAGACACAGAATATTTTTTATTTCTATAAATATCTATGACAAACTGTAAACTGTTTCACAGTACTAAAACAATGAGATCACCAGATGTCTGGCCATTTCCAATAGTAAGCCTGAAACCTGGAGTAATATTGGCATCACTGAAAGAGGAGGCAAGCTGCAAGGGGTAATATGATGGGTCTTCTGGGCTGGTCAAGGAAAGTCAGTCATGGCACTGACATGCCTTTCCAGCCTGCTCAGCACAATCCATCTGCAGTAACCTTGGGCAAGTTTATGTAGCTTGACCTCTAGTAAACCGGTAGATTTTCATGGCAGCTACTGAAATAAGATAAAGGAAGTTCTGAGGTTGTTTTTTTTCTCCTTGTTTAACAGAGGAGAGGTAGAAGAGATCTGAAAACTCAGACAAGAGGTATAAGAAACAATCCAACACTTTTCACCAGGCAGAAGAAAATGGGGGGAGGACAAGGAAAAAAACCCCAACCAACAAACCGACAAGTCCATTTTTTTTACATTTGGATACGTGCATTAATTTTTCCTCTCAGAAAGTGTTGCTTCTCTTCTCACACCTCTTTGCTTTCCAGGTAAAATGTGTATAATATATCCACAAAGCTTGTAGAGCTGACTGTTGTTGAAAAGGGTACCTTACCTATGCTCAGCTGGCTTTCTCCACCCTGAACTCCTAAACCCCTCAGCGATTTATGCTCCTTCATGTAACATGCTCCCTCAATGAGCAGAGGGGCTTTGCTTTATCCCCTTACAACCAAGTGCAGTGAGAAGGCACATACACCATTAAGTCGGTCACTGACTACTAGGACAGACCCTGATGTTTGCATGTTTTGGCAAGTCCAAATGTGGAGTCAGGTGCGAGATCTGAAAGCAGAAAACTACTCTCTCCTTCATTTTTACTGAGCCCACCATTCTGACCTTCAGGAAGTAAGGGAAAGGAACAAGTACTCTGTGCTGCAAAGGGAAATTAAAAAACCCAAACCTGGAAGTCAGGTATAGATTAAGGACTGGGAGAAACTGAGTGGCAGGGAAATGGGCACGTGGAAGATGAGTGGGGAAAGTATTATCAGATGAAAAGTGAAAGAGATTTTGAAGAAAACGAGTGCTGGAGACTGATCTGGAAAGAAGCTGGGTTTAAGCAAAGAGAAATGGAAAATGAAGGGCCTCCTGGTCTTACATGATGGTTCTTAATGGTTGGGAGGTATAACGGGGAATACATCAGCTGACTGGGTTGTAAGTGGAAGAGGATAAAGAAGGAGAAATGGGATATTTTTGGACTTGGACTGGGACTTGATTGGCAGAAGGGAAATTAGACATTCAGCAGTGAGCTCAGGACTAACAGAGCAAGAAGAGTAAGACTGAAATGAGAAAGCTGAGAAGAGGGCAGGAACAAAAAGATGTGGGTGAGAGAAATTATGTTGAGTCAGGAAGCAATTGAATGGGAAAATGTAAGATGTGGGTGAAAATAAAGACTGTGATCACATAATTAAAGGTAATATTGAGAGTAGACAGCAGGACAGTTTGAGTTGAGCTGCACAGTTATATGTATTCTTGCAACACTTTCCAAACTTCTTAGCGCTTAATTTCTGGGACCGCTACTAGAGTGGACACATACTGTTTGCAGGAAGAGGTAATTTTGTTAACAAGAAAAGAGGTAGCAGGGCTAAATCTTAACTGCAAACTCATGCTGCCTAGTGACTGCCCTTTAATTGCAGTTGTTATAGCAGAAAATGTATGTTTTTTCCAAAGATTTGAAGCAAGATGTAAAGACACTGAGTTCCAGTGTTACAGTCCAGGTGGTTTGAATGTTTTCATCATATGTTACAAGGGTCTACCATTTTGTCATGTATGTTAGTCTTGGAGACGGTGAGTAAAGGAAGCTTGAAGAGTATGTTGTATTTGCAAGACTATGTTTATCCCATGACCTACATTCCCACGGCTTTTTACAGAGAACTATTTCTTATATACATAGTAGGAAGAGATGCAATTGCACGGTTGGCCATGATAATGTAGAAAGTTGATAATGTAGAAAGTAAAGTTAAATCAAAGCAGCTGTTCTTCACAATATGTTAAAGCACAGGACTGCACATGGCCAAGCTTCAACTGAGTGAGGCTGCATTTGAGTTTGTAATGTTGTTGACAGACCTCTGACAAGAAGGAACTTGTGAAAAAGACTGAGAAGGTGGAAGGGTAGCATGCTCCTAAGTGCTCAGGACAAGTTCTCCAATACCTTTTCTGTTTTGTTTGTTTGGGGTTTTAGAGTAACCAGTAAACAAAAAAGTGTATAGTTTCTGAGACTACCCTACTCTACTGCCAGCCAACTCACCTGTTCCTTTTCTTTGCAAGTTGCTAAGGAAACTTCTGAGAAACCTGCTGGATTTCATTGCTTCAGTATAGCTTGCTAGGACTGAAAGTTGCACTCATAAAAACTGAACAAAAACTGTTGCTGTATGCAAGAGTATTTTTGGCACTTGGATGGGATACCCTTGATGCTTTCATGAGGATACGTGAAGATTATGTGAGGAAAGACATTGGTGTTCTGGGCCTCACAAACGTGGTTGAGTTTTCAGTATCATGGAAACTCCTTCCCTTTGCGGACAGAGATAGACAAATTAGATTGCGTTTTGGAAGCAAAGCACCAGAAACTGAAGTAGCGATAACCTCTGACAATAATAATTCATTATTCTACATCCAGATAAGCAAGAGCTATCATAATTAGAATTAAGCTCTTTTGAAACCCTTCTTTCTTATGGAAGATTTATTTATGTCCTTAGGTTTTACTATGTAATTTGGAAAGTTTCTAACTGAGGGGCCAAGTTTAATTCACTCTACAGATAGGGACATGATACATACAGATCTGAAGTGATTTTTCTGAAGGCCTCAGGGTGCCTGAATAGTGAACTAAGGTCTCCTGAATACTAATTCAGTATTATTTGAGTGTTTGTGCTATGCTGATGTACCCAGCTTTTTCCCCTGAGGTTTTTTTTCCCCTTCTTCAGGACAAGAAGTGATCCTTGGGTAACATTTCTACACCACTATGGCACAGACTAAAAATTGTTCCCACAGATTTTCTCTAGCTAGTGTCTTAGATATCTTTCACCTGATCACTGTGGATGCTGGATGCTGTTTTCTCAACTCACGGCACAGGCTGGGATTTTTAACAGAATAAAACTACGGGTGCTTGTGTGTATGTCCAACTTTGCCAGCAGTAAAAATGAAAATGGCTCCAGCAAAGTGATGGTGTCTGGAAATGGTGTTGTAATAAAATAATAACATTCAATTTCACAGCAAAAGCAATTCCCATATTCAAGCTTTGCGTTACGATGCATATGTGATATTAGAAGGGAAGACAATCGAAGGATTTAGAAATTCCCCTAGGCAACTCATATTTCCTCCTGTAACGTGTCAAAACAGCAAAGGATGAGCATGATTCACAGGATGTTGTTATTCTGCTGCTTCCTCATGTGTCAGATCTGACTGCTTCTAGAAGTTTAGTTTGCTTTCTGCTGTAGATGTGATGTAACCCAATGCTTGGGCCTGATATGAGGGTTTTGGCACAGCTCTAGGGGAAACTGGATGGTTGGAGTTTTTTTGTCCCAAGGAAAAAAGCTTCAATCTAGACTGTTGCATTGACTAGAGTTCTCTTGTTTATTTTATTTGTAAAACTGATACGAGTTATGAATTTCACACCAACTCTTCCGTTGGTGCAATGGAAACACAGTTCATTGAAGTAGTTTTATCAATCAGTGGCTCACAAACTTTGGGAGATCTATGGACTGTTTCTTTGTTAGGCCTGTTTTGTTAAGGAGACTGTAAAAACTACTGTCAGTAGATTTAAAGCTATTGTACAGTGATGTATCTTTCTGCAGAAAAATATTATGAAGTTTGGGAAAAAAGGTTATTCCACTGGACTTGGAGGTTGCTGAGATGGCTGCATGTTTTTGGGTGTTGCCCAGAATTCTACACACAGTCTCCAGTGTTGCTTACAGCCTTATATAAATCAGTGTAGTTACCAGCGTAACTCCGAGACAGGTGCCTACCACAACCTTTAAGGCTTTTGTATGAAGCTTGACCCATAGGTGCAGTTCATTGTTCCATGTATTTTTAAAGTAAAGGCTGGGTTGTAAAACTGATATCTACAATCTTTGCCCAGTGGTGGTAATGGCTAATGAAATCATATATGTACATAGGCAAAGCAGCAGAGAAAGAATAGTAATGCTTTAGATATGTTTCTATGTTCTCTACGTGCAGTGATTAATGCCTCTGTAGTCAGTAGCGTGCATTAGTACAAGTTGTTGTGAACACATTGAAAAACTGGACCTCCTCTTTATGCCTTTAGTTCTGATTCATCTGAGCTCTTGTACAAGCCTGTGAAACAGCAAGTGCAGCAGTCTCATCTCCTCCTTAAACAAAGCCAAGAAAAAACTCATCTGTGTTCTTAAATGCTGTTCTTGTGTTCCTTTTTCTGCTCTCTTTTCCCAGCCCACGGCAAGGAGCTCAGGAAAGGGGATTAATCACTTTTAGAAGGCATTGCTGAGACAATGTGTCAAAACTGACAGAAATAAAATGCCCTTCTCCTTTCTCCACTCCCATGTTCATGTTCCACTGTTCACGGGTCTTTGGGCACAGGACAATGCATCACAGCGGTATTCCTGCTGCTGCTGAGGTAAGTTTGTCAGTGCAAGGTGCCCTTGATAGCCATTTCAGACTTCCACAGTTCTTTTTCTTACAGCTCGATACAGTCTTAAATTTGGGGAAAGCCTGTTTTGGGGTGAACTACCTACACACTGCACTGCCCCACCTGAAAGTTCTGACATTGGTTGGTATGACCCAAACTTCTCCTGCACTGTATGCATGCACCAGGCTTTATTTTGTTAGTGGTTTTGAGTGATAGTCACCTTGATGATGATTATTAATGGCTCCTGTTAGTCTACCTGACCTTACTCATCTGCAGTAGTTCTTCAGTTCTAGAGTATCTTCATTCCTTCTAAGGGACCTACTTAAGAAGTTCAGCATTATCCTGCCCAAGTAGGAGTCATGCAACGTGACACCAAAGCATGACAAATGAACATCCAGCTCAAACCGCCCCACCCTCCTCTGGGTGGTGGTTTGAATAAACAAATAATGATTGCTTCCTAGAAGCTTCTGACGAAGAATATTGGCATTAGTGAGGTAACTAGTTGAAAGCAGGAAAGGCAGGACTCCCATCTACCCCACCCTGTGTTGTCATATACCTGGAACTCTTTTAATGTTCCTGCAGCCTTTGAAGACAAGATGAAGGTCCCACTTCTGTAGCCTGTACTTCCAAGGGAAGGTCCACTTACAGCAATTATTTACGTAAGGCTTATTTACTTTAGTGAGACTGTGGGATTCCTTCAGGACCCAAATTACTAAAACCTCATCTTTTACGGTTTGTTCATCAGACCCACCAGCTCCTTGGCATAAGCAAAGCAAAGAATATTTCATCCTCATTATATATGGTATTGCCTTTGTCCAACACTTAAGAGAAGTATACTTCATTATTGGGAATAGTTTCCTCATTTAAAAAAGGCTATTTTATTACACCATGAAAAATAACCCCCACAAAACTGGCTGTCCTCCAGGAAATTTATTTTTTTTAAACCCTTATTCATCCACAGCCTGATATGACATAAGTCGAGGTTAAATATCAACCAAACATTTTGCTGTGTGGTAAGAATCTGTCTGACACTGTTAACAGATTAAGGAAATAGAAAACTTGTACAGAGCTAGGTACCTGCTGGCTACTTTCCAAGATATTCTTCCAGCATAATTTTATAAAGGGGAACTAGTGATGACAACATCTGAGCACTCGGCTCAGTATGGCTAGGCATTTTAAGTTGGCCAAAGGTCGAGATCTGTCTGATTGCCCACCCAGTTAAGTGGAAACCTTGAGCAGTCTCTGGATTGGGCTAATGTTCACAACATCATTGAGTCAAATTCATCTTGGACCGCACTCCAGCTGAGGGAGGGCCTGAGTATATGTGCCCCCTTTGGATCTGGCTTCAGGAAAATTCCTACATTGCAGGATCATATTACAACTATTTTTGACCTCTAAGACATCTTAAAGACTTTATTTGACAGAAATTTAAAAGAAATGTATTTTAAAGAAATACATTATTATTAAAATTTATGATATAAATAACCTGAGCTGCTGTGTCTCATCCTTTAAGTATAACATCCCTATAAATAAATTTGCTTTTGTTTTGCTATTCCTTTCCATTTTGAATTCTAGCACTCCTCGATAAGCACTGTATTTTATGGAAAGCAAAAGAAAGCATAAACTGAAAACAAGCCTCTTCCTTCTCAAGCTGCCCATTGTTGTCCTGTTTAATGACTTTTGTCCTCTTATCTCCCATGTGATTAACCTTAGCAATCATTCAAGAGCTAAATCTGCAGAGAACTACCATTAAAATAAGGATCCTACCTTATAGGCTGGAAAGTAGTTACTTGGTTAAACTACATGCCCAAAGTTCATAAAATCAAATTGACAATGTGATCTTTGTAAAATGCAGGTGTGTTGCATGATGTCACTATGGTTTTGTTTACAGTATTTTCACCCTTCTGGACAAAGACAGTACCGTGTTCGAGACCTCATAGGTTTAAGGCATCAAGAAAAACTACACAGTGGAATCATTTTATGATCACTAGCTTACTTTCAAAATGTTTAGCATAACATCCACTCTCCAATTTCTTATGTAAAATCATGGTTTGACCTAAGACAAGTCTAAGGTAGTGCTCAGTAGAGTCATGTGAAGAAACTTTTATTCCTTGGCTCTTACGCCCAGTAGGAGATGCAGATGAGATGGTGTGACAACAGAGACCCTATCCAACAACAGGCTGAATGGCCTCATTTCTTGTCTACACAAGCCTCCACACTTTGCTGGGCTGAACTATCAAGACTTCTGGCTACAGAAAGAATGAAGTGGTTGACAGGAGGTTTTAACAAGGTGTTCAAATCACTGAATAAGTCTATCTGGACTTAAAAAAAAAATGCTAGTGAAGACTGATCTAAATGGCCTTATTTAGACATTCAAAGTAAGAGATTCAAAAAGCTCTGAATCTCATGCAAAGAGTTGACGGCACAGGGCAGGAGAGAACAGGCCAACACGGGAGGACTACAGAGATGCTGTCTGCCACTGTAGGGAGAAAATCTGTGTGGCCAAAGCTCAATTAGAGTTCAAGCTGGCCTTGAAGGACAACAAAAAGGGCTTTTTAAAATATGTTAACAGCAAAAAGGAGGACCAGAGATAACATTGGTCTGTTACTTGATGAGGTCAGTCACCTCACAAATAGGGACATAGACAAAGCAGAGACTTTTAATGCCTTTTTCCCCCGTCTTTAACACTGTTGATGGGCCCTGGGACCACCAGACCCCTGTGTTGGAAGACTATGACTGGGGGAATGATAAACTCGCAGCCGACTCTGAACTTGTTTGAGACTTGCTGCTCCAGCTGGATGCACATAAATCTATGGGGCCCATTGGGATTCATCCCAGGGTACTGAAAGAGCTGGCTGATGTCATCACGGGACCTCTCTCCATTATTTTTCAACAGTCTTGGGAAGCTGGAGTCAACTGGAAGCACAGCAAATGTTGTCCCAGTTTTCAAGAAGGGTAAGACGGAAGACTCTGGTAATTACAGGCCTGTCAGTCTCACTTCAGTGCCTGGTAAAGTTACGGAGAAGGTTATTCTGGGAGTTATTGAAAAACACAGACAACGCAGTCATTTGTCACGCCAGCATCGGTTCACAAGGGGACAGACCTGCTTAACTAACTTAATTTCCTTTTATGACAAGGTCACCCATCTAGTTGACCAAATAAGGCAGTAGATATGTTTGTTGTTTTTTTTTTTTATTTTAGCAAAGCTTTTGATACTGTCTCTCACAGTATCCTTCTGGATGAAATCTCCAGCATACAGCTAGACAAGTCCATAATACGTTGGGTGAGCAACTGGCTGATCGGTTGGGCTCAAAGAGTTACAGTAAATGGGGTTACATCAGGCTGGCAGCCAGTCACCAGTGGGGTTCCCCAGGGCTCAATTTTATGGCCAGTGCTCTTTAATGTTTTTATAAATGATCTGGACGCAGGAATCGAATGTACATTAAGTAAGTTTGCCAATGATACTAAACTAGGAGGAG